TTTTGTTCATCAGTTTATGTTGTTCATTAAATTCCACATATGAGTGAGATCATGTGATGCTTATCTTTCTCTGACTGGCTTATTTCATTTAGCATAACGCTCTCCAGGTCCATCCATGCTGTTGCAAATGGTAAGAGTTCTTTCCTTTTTACAGCTGCATAGTATTCTGTTGTATAGATGTGCCAAAGTTTTTAATCCACTCATCTGCTGATGGGCACTTAGGCTATTTCCAAATCTTAGCTATTGTAAATTGTGCTGATATGAACATAGGGGTGCATATATTCTTTCTGATTGGTGTTTCTCATTTCTTAGGATATATTCCTAGAAGTGGATCACTGGGTCAAATGGGAGTTCCATGTTTAGTTTTTTCAGGAAACTCCATACTGCTTTTTCACAGTGGCTGCACCATCCTTGCATTCCCACCAGAAGTGTGCTAGGGTTCCCTTTTCTCCACACCCTCACCAACACTTATCATTTGTTGATTTGTTGATGATAGCCATTCTGACAGGTGTGAGGTGGTATCTCATTGTTGTTTTGATTTGCATCTCTCAGATGATTAGTGACTTTGAGCATTTTTTCATATGACTCTTGGCCTTTTGTATGTCCACTTTCAAGACATGTCTATTTAAGTCCTTTGCCCATTTTTAAATTGGATTTTTTATCTTCCTTTTGTTAAGTTGTATGAGTTCCCTATAAAATTTGGAGATTAACTCCTTATTGGATGATACATCGGCAAATATGTTCTCCCATGCATTGCACTCTCTTGTTATTTTATTGATGGCTTCTTTTGCTGTGCAGAAGCTTTTTATTTTGATGTAGTCCCAGTTGTTTATTTTCTCCTTAGTTCCCATTGTCCTAGATGTATCGATAAACATATTGCTACAGAGATGTCTGAGATTTTGCTGCCTGTGGCTTCTTCTAGGACTTTTATGGTTTCATGTCTTATATTTAAGTCTTTTATCCATTTTGATTTTATCTTTGTGTCTGGTGTAAGTTGGTGGACTAGTTTCATTTTTTTGATGCATCTGTCCAATTTCCCCAACACCATTCATTGAAGAGACTGTCTTCACTCCATTGTATGCTCTTGCCTCCTTTGTCAAATATTAATTGAGCATAATAGTTTGGGTCCATTTCTGGGGTCTCTGTTCTGATCCATTGGTCTATATGCCTATTCTTGTACCAGTATCATGCTGTTTTGAGTACAGTGGCTTTGTAGTATAACTTGATATCTGGTATTGTGATTCCTCCAACTTTGTTCTTCTTTCTCAAGATTGTTGTGGCTATTCAGGGTCTTTTTTTTATTCCATATAAATTTTTGGATAGTTTGTTCTAAGTCTGTGAAATATACCATTGGTGTTTTAATGGGGTTGTCACTGAATCTATAGATTGCTTTGGGTAGTATGGACATTTTAATGATGTTGATTCTACCAACCCATAAACACGGTATTTTCTTTCACTTCTTTATATCTTCCTCTATCTCTTTTTCCAATGTCCTGTGGTTTTCCATGTACAGGGCTTTTACCTCCTTGGTTAGGTTTATTCCTAAGTATCTTAATTTTTTGTTTTTTTAGTTTCTCTTTCTGAGAATTCATTATCCTATATAATAAAACCCTAATATGCACACTGACCAAATGGCAAAAAAAACCTGGTGGAACAATGGGTCGCTATGACACCCACTGACCACCAGGGGCAGACGCTCAATGCAGGAGCTGCCCCCTGGTGGTCAATGTGCTCTCACAGGGGGAGTGCCACTCAGCCAGAAGCTGGGATCACTGCTGGACACCACAGTGGCGGTGGCAGGAGCCTCTCCCACCTCCACTGCAGGCAGGCAGTAAGGAATGAGGGATTCCAGACTGTGAGAGAGATGTCTGACTGCTGGCTTAGACCCAATCCCCTGGGGGATCAGGCCTAAGCTAACAGGCGGACAGCCCCTGAGGGGTCCTGGACTGCAAGATTGCACAGGCCAGGCTGAGGACCCCCCCCCCCCCACGCACACACAGTGCATGAATTTCATGCACCAGGCCTCTAGTTGGTATATAAAAATGCCATCGGCCTGGCCAGGGTGGCTCAATAATTGAACATGGACCTAAAAATCAGGGCATGGTTTGATTCCCAGTCAGGGCACATGCCCCAGTTGTGAACTCAATCCCCAGTGTGGGGTGTGCAGGAAGCAGCCAATCAGTGATTCTCTCTCATTATTGACGTTTCTATCTCTCTCTCCCTCTCTCTTCCTCTCTGAAATTAATAAAAATATATTCAAAAATAAATAAATTCAGGCCTTACCTTTAAAAAAAATGCCATCAATTTCTGGATGTTAATTTTGCATCCTACTATGTTGACAGATTCATTTAGTAAATCTAGTGGCTTTTTGATAGAGTCTTTAGGGTTTTCTATGTACAATATCGTGTTGTCTTCCAAAAATGACAGTTTTCTTCTTCCTTTCCAATTTGGATGCCTTTTATTTCTTCTTCTTGTCTGATAGCTATAGCTGGCACTTACAGTACTGTGTTGAACAGGAGTGGTGAAAGTGGGCATCCCTGTATTGTTACTGTTCTTAGGGGAAATGGTATTAGTTTTTGCCCTTTGAGTATGATGTTGGCTGTAGGTTTGTCATATAATGCTTTTATTATGTTGAGGTATGACCCCTCTATTCCCACTTTGCTGAGTGTTTTTATCAAAAAAAGGATGTTGGGTTTTATCAAATGCTTTTTCTGCATCAATTGATATGATCATGTGACTTTTTTGTCTTGCAGCCTGTTAATGTGCTGTATCACATTTTTTGATTTGCAGATATTGTACCAACCTTGCATCCCAGAATAAATCCCATTTGGTCATGGTGTATGATCTTTTTATTGTAGTGCTGAATCTGGTTTGCTAAAACTTTGTTGAGGATTTCAGCATCTATGTTCATCAGAGATATTGCCCTGTAATTCTCTTTCTTTGTAGGCTCTTTACCTAGTTTTGAGATTAGGGTAATGCTGGCCTCATAGAAAGAGCTTGAAAGTGTTCCTTCCTCTTGAATTTTTTTGGAATAGTTTGAGGAGGATGGGTGTTAGTTCTTTGAATGTTTGGTAAAACTCCCCTATGAAGCCATCTGGATCAGGGCTTTTGCTTTTTTTTTTTTTTTTTTTTTTTTTTTTTTTTTTTTGTTACTGCTTCAATTTCATCAGTAGTTATCAGCCTATTTAGGTTTTCTGAGTCTTCTTTATTGAGTTTTGGAAAATTGTATTTTTCTCGGAATATATCCATTTCATCCAGGTTGTTCAGTTTGTTGGAATAGAGTTGTTCATAGTTGTTGTTTTTTGTGGTTTTTTTAATGATCCTTTGTATTTCTGTGGGGTCAGTTGTTATTTCACCTCTTTTGTTTCTGATTTGTTTATTTGGGTCCTCTCTGTTTCTTGGTAATCTGGCTAGAGGTTCATCAATTTTGTTTATCCTGTCAAAGAACCAGCTCTTGGTTTTACCGATCTTTTATATAGTTTTTTAGGTCTCTATGTCATTTATTTCCACTCTGATCTTTATCCTTCCTTCTACTTACTCTGGGCTTTTCTTGTTGCTTTTTCTAATTCTTTAAGTTGTAGGGTTAGATAACTTATTACCAGTTTTTCTTGTTGTTGTTGTTTCTGTGTGTGTTTTTTTAAGGTAGGCCTGTAGTTCTATGAACTTCCCTCTCAAGATTGCTTTCACTGTCTCATAGATTTTGGATTGTTGTGTTTTCATTGTCATTTGTTTCCAGGATGGTTTTTATTTCTTCTTTGATCTCTTTGGTAACCCATTCGTTGTTTAATAGCATGCTATTTAGCCTCCATGTGTTTGATTGCTTTCGAGCATTTTTATTGTAGCTGATTTCTAATTTCATACCACTGAGATCTGAGAAGAATGCTTGATATGTTTTCATCTCTTGTGTATTTTATTTATTTAAATATATTTTTATTGATTTCAGAGAAGAAGGTAGGAGAGAGAGAAACATCAATGATGAGAGAGAACCATTGATCAGCTGCCTCCTGCACGCCCCCTACTGGGGATAAAGCCTGCAACCTGGGCATGTGCCCTTGACCAGAAGGAACCAGAAACCTTTGGGTCTGAAGGCCAACCCTCTATCCAGTGAACCAAACAAGCAGGGCCCTTGTGTATTTTAGATTACAGTACATCTCAATTCCAACTAGCCACCTTTCAAGGGCTCAGTAAGCACATGTGGCTAGTGACCACCATATGGAGCAATGCATTAGTGTATTTACTAATCCTAAAGTTAAAAGCCCAACTCAGAATCACCTGTCCCTTGGTTTCAGAGGACACGCAAGAAATAATAATGGCAGAGTTCTTGAGTATTTACTTTGTGACATAGGAAGGCAGGATGCCCTCCACTTTTGACAGAGCAAGAGAACTTTCCCTCAGTGCCCCACCGCGCCCCCTCCCCCCCCCCCATCCCGGCGTCCTAATCAGGGTCTAGCAGTGGTTCTCAACCTTCTGGCCCTTTAAATACAGTTCCTCATGTTATGACCCAACCATAAAATTATTTTCGTTGCTACTTCATAACTGTAATGTTGCTACTATTATGAATCGTAATGTAAATATCTGATATGCAGGATGGTCTTAGGCGACCCCTGTGAAAGGGTCGTTAGACCGCCAAAGGGGTCGCGACCCACAGGTTGAGAACCGCTGTCAGAGTAGACGCGCACAGGAGCTGGCGCCGGTCACCTGCAAAGTGAAGAGATTACAGCGGAAGAGAACCCCACTGCTCCTCCTGCTCCTCCTCCTCCTCCTCTTCCTCCTCCTCCTCCTCCGGCTTCTCCCCGGCCACCGACTCTGACTCCTCGAACTGGTGCTTAGAGGCTCCACCATTCCAAGGAAGGGCCACCGCAGCTTAAATTCGCCCGCGACAGGTCTCCTGACGCGACTCGCGAACGCGAGGGGGCGCCGCTTTCCGTCGCCAGGACTCGGCTTCCGGGCGCTCGCGCGCCGAGCTCATCATAGAGACGCCAGAGGAGACTTCCGCTTCCGTCCGCCTAGGGGCGTCGCCGCGGTCGGTGAGTTGGCGCGCTCTCACTTCCCCCGGAGCCCGCCTCCCTGCGGTTGCGCAGACTCTCTCCTTTAGCGGAAAACGTATTCCTCTCGCCCACCTGGCGCAAACGCAGTGCTGGACCCGCAGCCGTAAGACAAAGAGACACGTCCCGATCCGGAGTCATGGAGGCGACCCATCAGGGCTTGGCGGCCACTGGGAGCTCCGCGCCGCCGCGGGAGAAAGAGGAAGGAGCCGGCCCGAGCCCAGGCCCGGAGCGTAACTCTGCGGGCTCCTCGTCGATTCCTGAGGTTCCACCGCCTGAACCCTCCAACGCCAACGCTGTTCCCGAAGCGATCCCTCCGCCCGTGGCTGCCTCCGCGGGGCCCGCACCCCTGGGGCCCGCGCCGCTTGCTGAAGTCGTCCCGCACTCCTCACCAGGCCCTGGCGGCTCCCGGCCGGGTCCGGAGACGTTCCGCCAGCGTTTCCGACAGTTTCGCTACCGAGACGCAGCGGGCCCGCGAGAGGCGTTTCGGCAGCTGCGGGAGCTCTCTCGCCAGTGGCTGCGACCCGACATCCGCACGAAGGAGCAGATCGTGGAGATGCTGGTGCAAGAGCAGCTGCTCGCCATCATGCCCGAGGCGGCGCGGGCCAGGCGGCTTCACCGCCGCACCGATGTTCGCATCACCGGCTGAGCGGCGGGCGGCCTGGTCCCGGCGCTCTCAGGACTGGAGCCTCGCTCCCCACTCCACGTTAATGAAAACGAGCTTTGGCAGCTCTTGTGGTCTGATGTAGCCCTTTTCGTTCTTTACTGCGTTTATTTTCCCGAGCGTATTTCCAACCTTCTTTCTGGTTAGTGGGAGCCCATGAGAATAAAGCCTTTGTTTCCTACTCACTTGGCCTACGTTGGGTTTTGTTGGATCCTTACGTGTTGGCTAGGCCGAGGCATTCGCCACATCTGGGATATTTTTCTCTTGCACGCTTCCCAGGACCCTACTTGGGTGTCCTTTGTTTTGCTGGAGTCTGTAATTAGGGTTCCATATTCGCCCCTCTCACTAGCTAGAATGTAAGCTTGTTTTCCTACGTGAGAAAATAGTGACACATCTTGCCATATAGGTTGGTACTTTTGTGACATCAGGCAGGCAAATAACTGGCTCTGTTAAATGATTGTTTACCTGACTACCTCTAAACCAGCACTGCCACTAGTAGCCTGCCTGGGCACAGATTCCCAAAAGGCCCAAACCATTGGGCTGTTTTAATAGGTTTCAGAGCAGTTCCTTAGAGATAGACTAGTTCTTGCTAGCTCTGGTTTATGCCTCCAGGTTCACCGTCTTTGCCAAATTTTAGGCTTCTAGAAGGATTTAAGCAGAACTGGTGTGAACTAATTAATTATATTGCTAGAGCTAGGCATTTTTTTTAAATGTATTGACTTTGTTATTACACTTATTTATGGATTCATTGGTTGATTTTTCTATGTGCCCGGACCAGGGAATCGAACATGCAACCTTGGCTTATCAGGCAGATGGCTCTAACCAACTGAGCTGCCCTGCCAGGAGAGCTACCCATTTAAATTTCTCTCCAACCACTTCCATTTATTTTTTAAATAAGCATAATTGTTTAGAAAGATAGGAAGGAGCCCTGACCAGTGTGTCCAAGTAGAGCATTTTGCTTGCAGAAGGCAATGTGTCTCACATCAGTGTTTCTCCCTTCCCCTTTCACTCTGAAAAGCAATGGGAAAAATATCCTCAGGTGAGGATTAAGAAAAAAAGAAAGGGAAGAAGGAATATGGAAATAGGGAAGCTACTATGAAATCTAAAACCTACTCTGTTCCTTAAGTCTTCAGCCCAACCAGGAAGGAGCTAATTGGGGTCCACAGGCAGTTTGGATTTGTCTCAAAAGTACCCTAAATGCATTGGGGTGCCATATCATCAGGAAGACCAAACCTGTCTTCCCTGCACTGCTTTCAATAATCAAACTCTAATAAGCCTGCAGTTCACAACACATGAGCTAGAATGGGCTAGAGCAGTGGTTCTCAACCTTGGCTGCACATTAGAATCACCTGGGAATCTTTTTAAAATCCTGATTTCTGGGCCTCATCCCCTGGAAATTCTGTTTCTTTGTTACTAATGTTGTGGCCCCACCCCATAACAAAGGATTTTCGGAGGATGAGGCCCAGAAATCAGGATTTTAAAAAGATTCCCAAGTGATTCTAATGTGCAGCCAAGGTTGAGAACCACTGGGCTAGAGGCTGGTGTGGGACATTTTACTTTTGAATATTACACACTTAAAATTAATTCAAAAGTATTTTGCATACTTTCTTGGGATTTACGGTTTGAGCTTATATCCATCTGCCTCCTTGCAGAAAAATCTGTTTAGAATGTAAAAACAGACTTCCTTTAAAAGATTATAGAAAGTTAATGCATATTAGAATAATTTTATAACTCAATAACTTGACAAACATAGCAACAAAAACCTGTTTTATTTTTTCCAAATACAGATACAGAAGTTTGCATGTTTTGCAAATATTGCTTCAAAGCAACATTTCTATATACAGCGCCTTCTGTTCTAATAGCGCGTAAACATAATGTATCCACAGTGCAACGTTGGCTCATCAAGGGTCCACCTTGCATATACTCTATCACTTGAAACAAAATGATTACTCAAACCAGAACTGTTTGTCAAGGCAATTTTTTAAAAGGTGGGTAGTTTTACTCAAAACTTAGGTAGTGTACATATTTCTAAATGGTAACAGTAATATTTGCAAATAACTGTTTCCAGTGCTCCAACTTGGGGTTTATTCAGATTGACCCAGTAATGAGGATGGAGCCCCTTAACATGGCTTTAAATTAGGGAAGCACACTGAGGTTCCCAGAACTTGGAGTCATCCCTGCTTCCCTACAGACAAAAGTCACAATGAATGAAATGGGACTTTTTTCTTTGCAGAACTTAAACGATAAGCCCAACTAACGGACAAAATTAGGGTAGTTTAATTCCATCTTTGAAAAAGACATGAAATTGTCTTAAAGTTACAGCTCCCTCAAATGTGACACTCATTTATTTTAAGGGGGAAAATATCAGTAATCTAATAATACAAGTCGTCATACCTCACAGTTGTGGCTACAGAAAACCATCGTGTTTCTTCCCTTTTCAGACAAGCATCACACAGTTCTTATGAGGCTGTCTGATAAATTATGCAAAACATAGATGCCATGCACACTCCTAGAGGGTTTCTTCCGATACCAGAAACGCCAACCTTAGCAACGGGAAACAGCCTCTTTGTAGAGGAATTGTGTCAGCTTTATTACAGATGTCATAGTTACATGTATTCCCTCTGATGGAAAAGCTACAGCAGGTCAACTTCTCCTAAATTCATTTTATATCACATGGTGAACAAATTGCTGGACAGCATTCCCTGAAATAGATCTTGGTACAGAGGCCTTCATGACCACAGTGACCTGTGCCTAAAGCCTAACCATCCACAAATCGCTGGAGATACTGTCATTGCTATTGAGATATTGGCTACTTCACGTTTACATAGTAAATATTTGCAGCATATAACATTACAGATTCATAAACCCATAATTAACTTGTGAGTGTTAATGGACAACTGTGCTTTGCTTTTTTTTTTTTTTTTTTTTTTTAGTGATTAAGAAAACTAAACAGTGAAACAGGTCACTCCTCAAAACATGGAACATTTTCTTTAACTTTGTCTAGTAAGGAAAAAACAATATAGCAATTACATGTAGAACCGTAACCTGTGAGAGTAACAAATATTGTCTCAAAAGGTACAAATTGTATCTGGACCATAAGCAGCATAATTACCTTAATTTCACAAAATAATACAAACCGGAAATTTAAAGTGTTAAAGTATATTAAAACAATTTTGAAAATGCCACTATTAAACATATACCCTTCAGGGAAGGAGGAAAGTGGCACATGTAGAATCTAAAGTTTGTTTACAGCAATATAAAATAAGGTAATTCCCCAAACCACATTCTTTGTAACAAATCTTTACAGTGAAAGAGTTCAAAATTTGGGGAAACACTTTTTGGACATTAAATAGAACTGGGAAGCTGTCAATATTAAGAAGTGGGTAGAAAATGCTGTCCTTTGGGTCCCAGACCCTGCCTGTTTCAGTTTGGAATTCCTCCTAGCTTCTTCGAACAGTGAGATTCTAGTTCCTCCACAGGCTGTATGGGCTCTGCTATAAAAGACATAACCCAGCCAACTCTGGGGTAAAAGCATACAAAACTTGTCCCCGGTACCATGAAGTCATGCACAAGATGTGATGAAAAAAGTGAAGAGTCCGACAGAGAAGGCAGGACAGCCAAGGCCTCTGCTCCTTCCCAGTCTCCACAGAATGGTGAAGTCACGACATTCCCATGAAGCTAGAAAAATGAAAATGATACCTGCTGCCTATATCCATGCCAGGCAGAAACCACAAGGCTTGGCATGTGCCCCAACCTGACAGAAAAGTCAATTAAATAAGCTGCAAGTTGAATCTACAACAGTTTCCGACGAAACTTTTTTGGCTCTCATTCCATTTATCATCAGTGGCACGATTTCAAGTGAAGTTTGTGCAAAAAGACTCACTTTCCATTCAACGATGTGCACAGAAGGGAATCCCAAGAGTCTGTTTGCTACCTTCGTGGTAGGCTCTGAGATCAGAGTGCCCTGCCCTCCAGCAGCCCAAATGGCCTCTTTGTCCAATGTCCATCACACCCCGTCTGCCCAGATCCCTGAAGTCAGTCGGTGTCACATGCATTCGGCATGCTAGGTTTATTTATTTAAAAAATGCAAAGTTCCTCCTGCAGGCACCCCTGTATTGTGTCCCCATTAGTTCTGGGTGCCCAGTTTCATGTTGAACAGCAGAGCGAGATCTGCTGCACCTTGCCCAAGTCCGTCAGCAGCTGCTTAATGCAATGCTTGAGCTGTGGAAGCCTGGCCAGGGGCTGCGGGGGCTCCAGTTCCCCAGTATAGTCCAGCCAGCTCTCCAACACTGCAGGCAGAAGAGAGAGAGAAAATCCAATGAGTTCCCAACACTTGATGTGCAAGACTGTCAAGAATTTCAGCACCAATTTCAACACCATATCCCATTTGACCACTCATGGGGGGCAGGAAGGGGAGGCCAGTTCAGGCATCAACATTAATTCATCAACCTCCCTACAAACTACTACCCCAGGACAAAACTCAAATGCTTTAGAGCAGTGCAGTCCAATAGAACTCTCTGCAACATGGAAATGGTCTATGTTGTTTGATACAGTAGCCATCAGCCATATGTACCTACTGAGCATTTAAAACATGGCTGGTGCAAATGAGAAACTGAATTTAAATTGTATTTCATTTTACCCTGGATTGGTAGCTCAGTTAGTAGAGTATCGTCTTGATATGCCAAGGTTGCCAATTCGATCCCAGGTCAGGGCACAAACAAGAATCAACCAATGAATGCATAAATAAGTGGAATAACAAATTGATCTCTTCTCTCTCCCTCCCACTTCCTCTCTTTCAAATCAATAAATTTTTTAAAAAATATTTTTTATTGCTTTCAGAGAGGGAGGGAGGGAGGGAGAGAGGGGGGGAGAGAGAGAGAGAGAGAGAGAAACATCAATGATGAGAGAGAATCATTGATCGGCTGCCTCCTGCACGCCCCTTACTAGAGATCGAGCCCCCAACCCGGGCATACGCCCTGACTGGGAATCGAGCCATGACCTCCTGGTTCATAGGTCGATACTCAACCACTAAGCCATGCCAGCCGGGCAATAAATAAAATTTGTTAAAAAATAAATTATAGCCCTGGCCAATGTTGATTAGTGGTTAGAGCGCTGGCCCATGCACCAAAGGGTTAAGGGTTCAATTCCCAATCAAGGGCACATAACTGGGCTGCAGGTTGAATCCCCAGCCTAGTCAGGGTTCGGCGGGAGGCAACCAACTGATGTGTCTCTCTCACATCAATGTTTCTCTCCCCCATCCCCATCCCCATCCCCACCCCCATTCCTCCCTCTCTTTAAAAAAATCAATGGAAAAAATATCCTCGGGTGAGGATTTAACAAAAAAAATAAAAATTGTATTTAATTTTAATTAAACAGCCACACATAGCAAGTGACTATATTAGTGCAGCTCTAGAGTTGATAAGGCTTTCTCAAGCAGCTTCGAAGACTCACACACAAGCATCTCCCCTCCTCAAACCCAGCCCTCCACCTCCCTCCTCACCTTGCTAAATCTTTTGTTTCCTGCAAGTTACTTCTCAGGGAAACATCTCCCAATTCTACACCGTGAGTCTGGTCCCACTGTTATGAGTGCTACACTAGCTCATGTTCTTCTCCTTTGGAGCATCTACCGGTTTGTAATCACTTATAATGGGTGATTTAATTAATATCTGCCTCCACCACAAGATCAAGCTCCATGAAGGCAGAGGCCAAGTCTGCCTTGCTCACCATGATATATCCCTAACACTCAATTGTGCGTGGAACATAGAAGGCACTCAACAAAGGCAGTGAAAAAATATAGGAATGGTCTGGCAAAATGCTCCACTGACTGCTCAAGCTCTGCAGAGCTCACCATCCTCCCTCTATCAGATTTTCTTTTTGGTTCCTGGGCATTCCAAGGAGAGGAACATTCCCTCCTCCTGACTCCAACAAGTACAAGACTTGAAAAAAAATAAATAAGTAAGACTGCTTTCTCAGAACTGAACTTGAAAACAAGAGTAAAGAATCAAAGTCACATGAGAGTGGCTACCGACCTCTTGAGCAAGAAGAACTCCCTAGCGACCAGTTTCAATACACTGGTAAATCTTAAAGAAGTAGGTAGGTTCTGACTTCGCCCCTAAGGGCAGATTCCTTTGGCAACAACAGAATGTTGTTCACCCGGTTTCTCTCAGGGACCCAGAGCCACTCCTACTGCCAATTCTCTGAAAATCAACAAATTTCAGTCTGACATTCAATCCTCTTTCAGCAATCTAATAGCATTTTCACAAATAGTGGTATCAGTTACAACTCTAAGGAGCCCAAGCAAACTTTTTAGGCGTAAAAGAGACATAAAAACTTCTTCCAGAAATGCCCTCACAATGGACCCTGAATTAGCCTCCTAATCCCAGTTCCTCCGGTTTGCCTCAGGGACAAGACATAAGCATGTAGATCTCTCTTTCTCTCACTATCGTCCAATGTGGCAATCCATTTTCCAGTAGAACCAGTCCTCTTATCATCCACTCTGAGTCACCTCTTCAGCAGAAGACATCCCTCTCCTCAAGGCTCCACTTCAGTTCCAGGAGTTCCAGAAAGCCTGGCTGTAATTGCTGCCCCTCAAGCAGTTGTCCCCCAGCATGGCGTCAGCCTTACACGTCCTGGACACACCTTATGACCCTAGCTTGTGTAGCATATGGCATTTCCCTGAGTTCCTTCATAGTATGTTTTATATCCCCAATTAAAGTAATAGCTTGACTGTACTCAGCATCCTCAAACAGAACATTTATTTCTTAATCAGGCTCTATTTTAAGGATGAAAACAAATAATTAGGAAATAAAGTGAATAATCAAGAAGGAATTTTATCTTCAAAAACCAACCTGGCAACTTCCTGGGGATCAAAAGGGACTGAACTTGATCATGTTCATCATCACAAGTTCTGTCCTCCACATCCATCTGTTACCACTAATATCTGGGAGAAATACCCAAGGACTACACAAATGATTCTGTAAAGTTCTATTAGATCTCTACTGATATGGAGAAGAGGCTTCATTTCAGATTTTATCAAGGGGAGAAATAAAAGTGCTGTGTGTGTTTTAGACTAATCCTCAGATATCCTTAAAACCCAATTAAGAACTCGGTCAGTAAAGATTTGCTCAACTCACACACAGTCTGCAGGCAGAGCCTACTTGCTCTTCCACAGAAAAGACTGGGCAAGTGAGGCAGAACCCCTAGCATCACACAGTCCTTACAAGTAACCGATAAATACTAAAAGTAAGGCTGGTCCATCCTGAGAAGAGAATGGAGGTGGGTGAAACTGTAAAAAAGAGGAGGCAAGAATACACTGTCCCTGGAGAGCCAGGTAGGGGAGTTCAGAAAGCAGCTCATCCTGGCAAGCTCACAGTGCCTGCCAATGGGCAGAGAAGTAGGGAGGAGACCTACCATCCAGCTCCTTCTCAATGGAGTCCATCCTGTGCGTGACTTCGTCCTGAAGAGATTCCACATGGGTCAGCAGGTTAAACTGCCACTGGTGCTGGGAGCTCAGGAGCCCCTCTCCATCTCTGTCCAGCAGCTTTTGAGCAGGGGCTTCCTCTGGTAGGACCTTTTTGGAGACATATTCCCTCACCTGGAGATGCAATTGACATTTAAGTATTGAATGGAGACAGCTCCAGCCAGCGTTTGACACCATCTGAAAAACCAGTTGCAGTTTAAATATTACAAATGTCTATCTCTCTCCTCCCTCTCTTGGGCACTGGCCAAAAACGTGCCTGCTGTACCAACTGCAACCACCTCAGGGCAGCACACACCTCTGGCTCCGAGGACTCCACGGCTGCTTCTCAGTGGCTTGTCCAATGCCCGAGGCCTGACGTGGGCCTCAAAGAATGGCTTCCAGAGCCCTGAGATCAGAGTATAGCAGGGCAAGTATAAACAAGATATGTGGGAATCAAACAAGAGTTTTAAGTCCTAGCTCTATGTCTTGCTGAATACATGAACCTGGATAAGTTATTTCACCTCTCCGAGCTTCTGGTTCCCTTTTGGAAAAGGTGGTAGTAGTAAAATCTACTTTAAATGTTCCTGAGGATGAAACAGATAAAACACAGTGCTGACCTAAAGTCAGGCTGCCATCAATGAAAGAGATTTTTTAACCCTGCCTGCCCTGTTTAAACCCAGTATTTTCTGGTTTTTTATTATGTTCCAGACACCTCTATGAAATCTGCCTAGTCTTCAGGAGTGTAAACCTTTTCTGGAGTTTGTGATCTCAAACTTTTACTCATTTATTTGAAATGAAATAGATTTTAGCTAAGATTTATTTAGAGCTTACTATGTGCAAAGTCATGAAGCCAGGGGAGGTGAAGTGACCTTAGAGCCACAGAGTAAGTGGATCCTAGTCCAGACTTGAAACTGGGTCTCCCTCAAAAAAAAAACTGTATCCTTACCAGCCTTGCTCAGCACTGTTTTGACACTGGCAAGGGCACAGACTAAATGAGATATTAGGCTCACCTTTGTTTGACTTATAATTTAGGATGTTCAGCAATAAACAGCAACATATTTAACACTGGTGATACCGACCAGCAATTCTGTGAAAGTAAGGATGACAGGGTGTAGAAGCTCTCAAATCACACACAGCCTCGCCCGGCTGGTGTGGCTCAGTGGCTGAGTGCTGACCCATGAAACAAGAGATCACGGTTCACCTCCAGGTCAGGGCATATGCCCAGTTTTCGGGCTCAACCCCCAGTAAGGGAGAAGCCAATCAATGATTCTCATCATTGATGTTTCTATCTCTCTCTCTAAAGTCAATAAAAACATTTTTTTTTAAATCACACACAACTTCACTGACAACTGAGGACAGGATAGAACAAGACCAGTGAACAGTTAAAGATGACAACTTTAGCAAGAAGATGACATGGGTTTCAGAAAAGAATGATTTGAAAAACAAAAAAATAGAGTGGCTTGGGAAAACTGATGAAACTTGCAAATATTTTGACAAACAGACTGATCTTTTGTCAGGGCTATGTTCTTAAGCAAAGTTAAATATTCAAGTAAAGTTACCACAGAACTGTATTGGAAAAACTTATGCCTAACACAACGCTTGACTCATCTTGGCTCATGCCAAGATACAAATATAACATAAATAGCATTTTAAAAAACCAGCAACAACAAAACTCATTTTCCTAACTTAGTTCCATTTATCGAGTCCTAATCAACCCTTTTCTCCTTGCTACTTCCTACCTCTCCACCCCCAACTCCCACAGACTATGCCATTTTGTGGGCATTCCCCATAACCAATGATCTTTGATTTAAGTGAGCTCTCCTGACTTTACACCCATTTTAAAAGGGGGGAAAAACAAAACATCTGTGATAAGCAATTTTAAATATGATTTTACAATAAATATCTATATATCCTATATAATAAAGAGCTAGTATACTAATTAGACCAGATGGTGGAACAACCTTCCGGAACGGCCTTCCGGAACAACCAGTGGGCGGGGCTGCGGGACTGTGGGGCCACGAGGCAGCTGGGGCTGCGAGGGCTGAGCCCCTTGCATGAATTTCATGCACCGGGCCTCTAGTTTATATATATAAAAGCCTGAGCAACTGAACGACTGGTCGACTGGTCACTATGATGCGCACTGACCACCAAGGAGCAGATGCTCAACACAGGAGCTGCCCTTGGAGGTCAGTGCGCTCCCACAGAGGGAGTGCCACTCAGCTGACCGACGGGCGTCAGACGCAAGGCTCACGGCTGGCAAGCGCCCTGACTGGCGCCCTAAGGCAGGCACAGCAGGGCCAGGATAAGCAGGAGTTGCAGGATAAGCAGGAGCAGCAGGTGGCATTGGATTGCCAGTTTCAGCCTGATCCCCACAGGCCACACCAAGGGACCCCACCAGTGCATGAATTCATGCACCGAGCCTCTAGTAATCTTATAATAAACATCTTCCCTAGAAGGAGAATTTACAAGCACTCAAACACTGAATTAAGAACAAGTATAAGCAAGTCATATACCTTTGGAGAGCTGGGTTTGGGGTCACTGTCTCCCCTGCTCCTGTCTTGGTCTAGAGGCCAGCCCAGGCGCGGGGAGAGGGAATCATCACCATTCTCATGGAGGGTGTTGACTGCATCAAGGGCAGAGCCCCGCGTCTCCACCACCAGCTTCTGCTCCACAGCAGGGTAATAGGCACGGGGCTTCTGGTAGCAGTGCTCACTGGTAATATATGACTCCTCCACAGACCGAGGCAGGGGCAGGGGTTTCTCCACTGCCCCATTCAAAGTTCTATAGCTTGGGGCTTCCTCCTTGCTCTTGGCTTCAGCGACTTGGATGTGTCTGGAATGAGCTCTCCCATCCCCTGAATGCTGTTTCCAAGGCTGACACCACAGCTGCAGATCAGGATGCTCCCTGCTTCTGTGGGGAAGGCAAACATGGAAAGAGGTTTAGAGTAAGTGGAACCACTGCAGGGGCTTCTCAGTTCCCAAACACTCTCCCAGCACAGAAAAGAGCTCCCACCTGGGCTGTCTGATCACAAACCACCTTTTGCTAAGCAAGAGGGAATGGAAATCCATGGTCTCTGAGGAAACCACCTCCAGGCAAGCTCCCACTGTGTACACTTGCAGTGAATGGGAGGACAGACAGATGCTACTCACATTTGGTTCACAGAGGTGTAGAAACGTGTGGGGACCTTCTGAATGTCACAGTGATGAGGGGTACTACTGGCATTTAATTCATAGACTCCAAGGATGCTAAACATCCTGTAATGCTTGGGACAATCCCACACAAAGAGTTATCCAATGGTACAATTGTCAACGGTACCTTCGCAGCCCCAGCTGAGAAACACTGATCACCAGGAAAGCACAAGCTTAACTCACCAGCAACTCCCACAGATGAGTACCACCGCCCCCCCTCCCCACTCCCAATTCACACACTTTACTGAAGCCTTCCTGCAAAAATGGAATAGGTCATAAATATGAAGGCATTGAGTGATCTTACAAAACCTACAATTCTGGTCCCAAGGGTTTGCAACTATCCTTTCTCAGCTCTCCCACTCCAGCAATCCCCAATACCAATACCACTCTTGTTCACTGGGGAAGGAGAGGGAACAACCAACATCAAGGCAGCATGGGTCCCTGGGCTACCTTCAACAAGGTATCACAGCCTATACCAGGAACCCCGGACCTGATACACCCCTAAAATTTTAATTGCATTAGGAAATGGGAGTCATTGTTAACTTTCAGGTCCACCATAGTCTGAAATATGTTAACATGGAACACAGAAGCCACAGTATTGACCCCCTATGCATGAAAATCACAAAAGTCTTGTTTCTTCCCTCTTATAATTTTCACCCTCCCAGCTAAGATTTGAAGCCCCAACTACTACTCCACACAAGGATGACACTGGGCTTTCATTATAAGCCCTGACAATCATGAAAAAGGTATGTACACCATGCATGCTGCTTTTTAAATGACAACAGATGCTCCGAAGTTATCCGTTTTATAGTTTGCCTTTGAAAATAAACTGGCCAGTCCCCTTAAGGAACAATATTTCTGAGAATAAAGATCCAGAACCTATGATAAGAAAGACCATCCATGTTACACAGACATACTGGGATCACTTCCCCCTCTCTCACGATCTTTTCTCCACATATAATGACTAAAAAGGTCTCCCTATACCTTTTTTCTGAATTGCTAGAAGAAGTCGGATTTAATTCCAGTACAAAGCCACTGCTATAAAGATGAAAGATCTAAGTGGGATTCGGAAGGGACAAGGTTCCTGAATATGGAACAGGGACAGGAGCACAGGCATCTCAGTGAGAAGAAAAAGAACACCCTCTGACTGATTCTGCAAATAAAAAGAAACATAGCAAAATTCACAATCAGGAGCATCACCTGAGGATTTTTAGGCTCTGACATGGACCACCTTCCACTCACCTCAGTCAATTTCTGGCATCTCATTAAGAAGAAATTAATTTGGTTTAAGTGTGGTAAAGTTTTCCAATTTCATAAAATGTGAAAGAATAGCTAGTCTCTGACATCCTAGTCAGGGCTGTCACTTGATTCAGCTTGCTTCAACAGATACTGTAACAATAATAGCTAATATTACCCAGCAACTATCCTCCCTTCTTTTATACCCACTCCACCCTCATTCCTGAGTTTCAGCAGGGCTCAAGGCCACCTGGCTAGCTTCCCCTGCAGTTAGGTATATCTAGGAAACTGTTTGCTCTCCCTTTTGCTACTTTCACCCTCCTGGGGTGTGCAGCAGAGCTGAGGTACAGATGAGACTACATCAACCGGGCAGATGAGGATAATCCCAATGGAATGCCAGAGGAATAAGACGGAAGGAACCCAAGTCCCTAGATAGAACCCTGGAGAAAGGACCCCTACCTGGCCTGGACCCCCACCTACCCCTGAACCATGTATTATGTGAGAGAGAATATTCCTTTTTGTTTTAGTCTCTATTTTGGGGGGTCTCTGTTATAACAGCTTAGCTTTCACCCATCCCATTATATACTCTTGCTGAATGTGCCCTGCTCAACCACTCCCAGGCCTCTGTGCACCAGAATGCAAGAGAAAGAAGACCTTCATCCTGCCATCTCTGGGTTCTGACACTCTACTCTGCCTGACGCCAAGAGGCCTCCAGGACTAGTCAAACAAAAGAAAACCTTGTCGAAGAGTGGCCTGTCATGTCTAACTCACTCGTGGCACTAGTTTGTCATTGTTGATAACTTAACTAAAATGGAAATCTATGGGCAGGCTCATGGGAGAACTTAAGGAGAGATTTTTACAGAAGAGAACCTGTCCCTGCCATAGATTATGCTAATGCCAAAAGAAAATTCATGGAGAGGCAGTTAGGAAGACTAGAACAAGTACTTGACAGGAGCCGAGACCTGAATGCTAATCCTGGCTCTAATCCCATAATCCACAGGAGAGTGGTTGCTCCACTCAAGGCCCAGTTGCCCTATTTGGTAAAAAGGGGGAGGTTAGAAAAGCCAACAGACCCAAATGTCTTTCTCAGAGTTTACATAAACTTGGGTCACCTGACATGTAGAATTCGACCACAAAAGGGAATTCACACTCTATGTAACTCCAAACTCTGGTCATTAAAAGCCAGAAGTCCAGCTCCAAAAAGCCTAAAACTTTTCTGTATAAGCAAACCATCAAGAGGCATATTTAATGAGCAACCTCTATGCTAGAGAACAGGCTTGCCAACAATCTCTCTTCCAATAGCTTTCGATTTTACTCCGTTTACCAATCAAGGATGTTTAGGATGAATGGATAAACAAAATGTGGTATTATACGATGATATATTATTCAGCCTTAAAAAGAAAGGAAATTCAATACAGGCTACAAAATAGATGAACCTCGAAGACATTATAGTAAGTGAAATGAACCAGTTATAAAAAGACAATTACTGTAGGATCCCATTTGAATGAGGTACCTAGAGTAGTCAAATTCATAGAGACAGAAGTCGAGTGGTGGCTGCCAGGGGCTGGGGAGAGGGAAAATGGAGAGGAATTACTTAATGGGTATGGAGTTTCTGTTTTACAAGATGAAAAGAATTCTGGAGACTGGTTGCTCTTATCACTGCTGAAGTGTACACTAAAGAATGATTGAGATGATAATTTTTATATTATGTATATCAAGCATGTCAAACTCAAAGGCTAACGCGGGCCAAATAAACAAGACTCAAGTTTATGTGGGCCACAAAAAAACAAAAGCTTCAATTTTCATAGAAATGTAGGTTTATTTTGATAGAGACATGCTGAATACAAGGGCTGAAATAAATGAGTAATCTATATATGTAAAGAGCCAGGGGCCATCACATCCGAAACAACCAAGCAGACCACGGAACAGGCTGAGTGGGGCGACCAGGCTGGCAGGGGGGTTAGTGAGGGACGACCAAACGACTGAGCAGCAGGCTGCGTGGGGCGATCAGGCCAGCAGGGGGGTTAGTGAAGGAAGACCAAACGACCGAACAGCAGGCTGTGTTGGGCGACCAAGCCAGCAGGGAGGGCAGTGAAGGGCGACCAGACCAGCGGAGGGGGTTGGGGGGCAGTGAGGGGCAACCAGGCCGGCAGGGGGGCACAGTTGGTGGCAACCTGGCCGGCAGGGGGAGGGGGCAGTGAGGGGTGACCAGGCTGGCACGGGGGCAGTTAGGGGTGACTAGGCTGGTAGTGGGAGGGCTGTGGGGGGCGACCAGGTTGTCAGGGGGGGCAATTGGGGCGATCAGGTCGGCAGGCAGAGGCAGTTAGGGGTGATCAGGCTGGCCAGTTAGGGGCGATCAGGCAGGCAGGTGAACAGTTAGGAGCCAGCGGTCCTGGATTGTGAGAAGGATGACCGACTGCCGGTTTAGGCCCAATTCCCAGGATCGGGCCTAACCCAGCAGTTGGACATCCCCTGAGGAGTCCTGGATTGGAGAGGGTGCAGACTGGTCTGAGGGGACCCCCCCGCCCCGTGCATGAATTTCGTGCGCTGGGCCTCTAGTCATTAACATTAAATAATAGAACATTTTAATAAAAAATTAGTATTTTTTCTTGAACATTAACTTACCAGACACTGAATAACTGTACAATCAATAAGTGTAACGCAAATAAACCTATTTTTCTTGTTCTCCAAAAGCGAAACATTTCCTGTTGCGCACACCAAACAAGTCAGTATAAGACTAATGACGTGGCAATGGGCTGCTAAAATATTCGCTGCTAGTGTTAGTGGAGAGAAATGGTGCGCCTGTGCGTAAGGCGCGTAAGGGAAATGAATGCAACATGATGATAGTGATCGGTCATTAGCCAACATTGTAGTTCACTATTAATAATTATGTATAACAGAATATTGTAAAAATTAAGTTAGAGTTTTTTTAAAAACGTTTTTTACATACTGTTATATTGACTGGGCCACAAAAATATTCCTTGTGGGCCACATGCAACCCATGCTAGATGTGTATGTTACCACAATTTAAAAAACAAAAACAAAAAACTCAGACTGTACACAAAAACAATCTCAACTATTAATACATACACTGTATCATGATTATGTTGGTGGTTGCAAGAGTGCATACATTTGTCAAGACTCAATGAACGCTTAAAATATATAAATATACCTCAATAAAATTCGTTTTTCTTTTTTTTTTTTTTTCCCAGGGTGGGGCTGATCTCAGGGAGGCCCAGCCCTACAGAGGGCCAGCCTCCTTGCTCCCCTCCCCCAAAATTCGTTTTTTTTTTTAAATGTTTTAAAAACTGAGAATTTTTACCAAGGTCATCTATCTTTGATTTTGTAGCTTTCCAGATTCTCAAATTTATCCTTCTCCCATACATGCCAAATAAGACATGTCCCCAAAGTTGCACGTGCCACACTTACTGCAAGATGCTCATCTTGAGCTGCAGGCCATGCAGAACCTCGATCACTCTCTGCACATCCCCAAGAAGCTGGTGGGTGGCCACAATCTTCTTGGCATTCTGGTGGGAATAGTTATCTTCTAAAAATGCCAGGCCATGCATATGTCCCCTAGTCAACCACTCCTTGTCATACCAGTACTTTAAGCCAGGCCTCTGACCTAAAATAGTGACAATAAGAGAGTTAATACTTGGCCTGAAGGAAATCCAGATTATTTCATCATTGTACAATCATTACACAAACTTTTGAAAGGATGGATTGGTGTGTTTATTTTGTTCATTGGTGTGTTATTTTGTTCAACCCAATATACATTTACTTGGCACCTACTAAATGCTAGGCTCCCTATTAGGTGTTGGGAAAAAGGTAATAAGAAAAGTAAGTTTCCTGATCTCCTGGAAGTGGCCAGAGGTACAGCGAGAACATGGATATCTCTTTAAATTTAAATCACATCCCCTCTCCTACTTAAACCTGCAAAGACTTCCTACTGCACACAGTAGAAACCCAAAACCCTAACTCTGGCCTACTGAGACTTGCAGGACAGGCTCCTTTCTGCCCTCCTGGCCCCATGTTTACAGTTTTGTTTATGGGACACATCAAATTCTTTCTGATCTTAGGGTCTCTGCTTTAGTATCCACTCTGTCTAGAGCACTATTACCCTTCGCAGGACTAGCTCCTTACCACCTCTCCTCAGAGAGGCCTTTTGTCACCTCCCAAAGTAAGACAGACTCTTAAATGTCTCCTAGCCATTCCCTATCTGATCACTTTTGCTCCCTCAAAGCATTCATCCCTATCTAACAAGTTCTAGTATATCTTATTTTGAAATCTGTTTTTGGCCCCAACTCCACTAAAAGCAAAAAAATAGGAACCATATTGTTCATTGTTGTATACTCAGTGCCTGGAAAAAAGCATCTTGAATAGATTTATCAATGGAAAGAAGCCCCAAGTGACCCTCCAACTTCAACTACCACATACTTAAATACTGGTCAGGCCACCTCCCTTCTCTGGGCCTCCATTTCCCATCTGTTACAACAATAGATGAACTGAATGGCTTCAGTAGTCTTATTCATTACAGGGACCCCTAGGAAGGACTGAAAACACGACCCCATGTGACTTGACAGTGTTTCCTGCTCCAAAAGCCCAGGGAACAACTTTCAGTCAGACTGTTGTTCACCTCCCAATATAAAAAAACCATGAAATAACCTGGGTAATCCTATCAAGGTCTCTGGGCTCTTTCTGGCTTTATCAAGACACATGGTAGGTATACACCTTGATTCTGTTAAAAAACATTTTAAGAAACCTTTAAATCTGTTAAGTTAAACTTCTGGCCTAAAACACTGCAAATTTCAACCGAGTCTATAAATGTGACAGACATTGAGTGCTCAATTCAATGAGACATCTATTCACAGTCTTGGCAATTAGAGTTACTGAAGTTCAGAAAGTGTGTACGAATTGAGAAAGATGGTGTGTATGATTTCTAAAAAGAGAAAAATGGAGGGAAAGAATGAGAAACAATAAAGTAGACAAGAGAGACTTTTCAACAGAAAAGTGGAGGGAGAGAAAGATAAACAATGAAGGAGACAAAAGAGATTTTTCCTTAAGGAGCCCTCGGGATTATATGTAGAATCTCAGAGGCAGCTGTTGCAGGAGCTGCCTGAACAGGGTTCAGAGCAACATAACCTGTTATACAAGACAAAGGTCAGAGCCACTGGTTCTTATCTTCTGTCATGTCCTCTCTGGGTCTGTATTTGCTCATCTGTCAAATGCTGGGAGTTGACAGGCGTTCGCTGAGATCCTGTCTATCAATAATATTCTATGACTCATAGACTAATCTTCTGACCAATTTCTCCTTTGAGATAAAGGAAAAAATAGAGGCAGATTCCTTTCTGTCTATCTAGCACAAGGAGACACAGCGTCACAACAGAGGTTATCAGGCCCTGAGGGGACCTACTTGCTGGAAAATGAACTATGATGGCCAGCCCTGCACTACACAACTAGCAAAATCAAACATTTGGCATTACAAGCCAGTTCTAAATCTCACTTGTTTTATGAGATCAGAAAAGTCATTCATATTCTTACAGCAATTTCTTTCTCATAAGCAAAAATGGGAGTAGGAGTTCCTTAGGCCCTTCACAGGACTAAAAGGAATAACAGAAGCAGAGGTTCTCATATATTGTCTAATTGTAAGGGGATCATAGGACTGGAGCTGAGGGGAGAACTTACAAGTAGAGAACAGGGAGAAGATGTCAACATCCTATTGACAGCAAGACAAGAGCAACAGATTTATAATCCACCCCTGAAACTTCTGGAAAGGGGCACCCAAGAGCCACAGGCAATCCCTGTGACCATGGAACAATGAAACTAACAGATCCTGTTAAGAAATTAATTTAGCCCTAAACGGTTTGGCTCAGTGGATACAGCGTCAGCCTGTGGACTGAAGGGTCCCAGGTTCGATTCCAGTCAACGGCATGTACCTTGTTTGCGGGCACATCCCCAGTAGGGGGTGTGCAGGAGGCAGCTGATAGATGTTTCTCTCTCATCGATGTTTCTAACTCTCTATCTCTCGCCCTTCCTTTCTGTAAAAAAATCAATAAAATACATTAAAAAAGAAAAAAAATTTTTTTAAAAAAGAAATAAATTAATTTATTCTTTTGGGTGGCAGATAGGCTCTTTGAAACCAGACCTTTTCCCTTCCCCTTAAGGGCACATTTCCCTTCTTCGTGGCAATGAAGCAATGGAGGCCAGATACCACTAGAGGGAGCAGAGGCAGGTTTCTAACTCATCAACAGCCCTTAAAAGTCAATGACAGCCTACATCTTCATGAATTCTCAAGAGGAGAATTCTACAACTGAAACGACACAGAGCAGAATAGCATGGCTATTTATGCAAGGATGACACGCAAATCTGTAGAGCATTCCATAGTTTTTATACTTTCAGTCATGCAAGATGAGTAAGTTCTAGAGATCTGCTGTACCACTGTGCTTCCATTATAAATAATACAGTACTATACCCTTAAAATGTTATGAGTGTAGATCTCATGTTACATTATTTTTAAATAAAAAAATAAGGCCCTAGCCAGTTTGGCTCAGTGGATAGAGCATCGGCCTGAGGACTGAAGGGTCTTGGGTTCGATTCCAGTCAAAAGCATGTACCTCAGTTGCAGGCTCAATCCCCGGCCCTGGTCATGGCATGTGTGGGAGGCAAACAATCGATGTATCTTTCTCAATAGATGTTTCTCTCTGTGTGTCTCTCCCTATCTCTCTCTCTCTCTCTCTCTCTCTCTCTCTCTCTCTCTCTGAAAATCAATGGAAAGATAGCCTCAGGTGAGGATTAACAAACAAACAAACAAAAAGTAAATTCTAGCTCAAGGCCAGCTCTTCTATTTGATGAAGCTCTTCACATGGTCTCTTACTGCTAAGCTCAGGAAAACTGGCCACCAGGTGAGTGAGCAACAAAGGTGAAGAAGTCAGAGTCTAGCCGATGCTGAAGAAATGAGTCTCAAGACCACAGACACTTATGCTGCTTCACAACCAGCTATGCCAAGGAAAAGGCTACATACTGTTAATATCCCTGACTCCAAAAATCTCTACCTGGAGGGTCTTGGCAAACATAACAGGTGTATTTCTCAGGCACATTTTCTTCCAATAATCCCATGCAGACCCCATGCTGCCAGCACTGGCACTCTTCACACTGTCAGAATTAAAGAAGCAATAAAAATTAAACTCAGAAGGTATTCTCCCCATCTATATATATATATATATATATACACACCAAGTAACCAGAATGACAGGTCGCTATGACATGCACTGAGGCGACCAACCGGCCCAATAGCCCCCCACTCCCCCCGCAACCACCCACAGCCCCTCCCCCCAGCCGGGCGGGATTACCCCAATTGGCCCCCCCCATCCGTGCACAAACTCATGCACCGGGCCTCTCATCCAAAAATAAGACCCACCTGTGGGGGGAGGGAGAGAGAGAAGTAGAAGGAGAGAACGCCACAACTAACTTACACAGGTGCTGGGCTGCAACCATTCATCTAGAACTGTGCTAGGCAATACAGCAGCCACTAGCCACCTGTGGCTCTTTACATTACATTAACAAATTAAGTTAAAAATTCAGTTCCCTAGTCCCACTACCCACATCTTAAGTGCTTAATAGCCATATGAGGCTAGTGCAGTGATGGCGAACCTTTTGAGCTCGGCGTGTGAGCATTTTGAAAATCCCTAACTTAACTCTGGTGCCGTGTCACATATAGAAATTTTTTGATATTTGCAACCATAGTAAAACAAAGACTTATATTTTTGATATTTATTTTATATATTTAAATGCCATTTAACAAAGAAAAATCAACCAAAAAAATGAGATCGCGTGTCACCTCTGACACACGTGTCATAGGTTCACCATCACTGGGCTAGTGGCTACTATGCTGGACAGCACATATGAAGAACATTTAGATCTATTAAACAGTGCTGGTCTCAAAAAAATGGCTTTCACTCTCATTTCTAGAGGATTGAACTCTTCTGATCTTTTTGACACAGGAAAAGTTGTTCACATACACAGAGGAAGGTTAACTTGTAATGAAAAAACCTGAGTTTGATTCAGGCTCAGACATTTATTAGCTGTGTGGCCTTGCAAAGGTCACTTCTCCACCCTAAGCTTCAGTTTCCCCATCTGCAAAATGGGATACTCTTCCTACCAACCATGTGGGGCTGTTAGGAGGAATCAGTGGGTCATGTGTAAAAGATCCTACCTCACAACTTTAATGTATTGAGAGCCTATTACTATTACTATTACTAAGGGGCAATCTAAGTCACTCTGATACCTCCTGGAGTAACCATGTGCTAGCATTTTGCATTTATTTTCTCTAAGCCTTACCAAAGGTCACACAGCTGAAGAGAGCCAAAGGTGGGTCAGAATACAAACTAGGCAAATTGCAAAGCTAGTTCTTTTAACCCCACTGCCTTCCCTGGATTAAAGGGGGAGGTGGGGAAAAGAAGGTGAAGGAGGGGCAGGAGGTACAGAGGGAAAAAAGTACAGACAATGAGGGCAGCATTATCTGAGGACAGTAAGCCTAAGGACTAAGGGCCCAGAGGAAATGGATAGGAAAAGCAGATGTCAAAAAGATACTAAGATACTTCAAGCAATTCCAAAGCAGAGCCCAAAACCTTTAAGTACCCAACTAAATGAATAGTTCTGGAAGGTGGACAGTGAGTTTCCTGACATGGCCTTGAGGCTGAGCCACCAGCCTAGCTGGCCACAGGGACTAAAAGTCTAAAGTTCAGACAGCCCTAGCCGGTTTGGCTCAGTGGATAGAGCGTCAGCCTGTGGACTGAAGGGTCCCAGGTTCAATTCCTGTCAAGGGTACATGCCTAGGTTGTGGGCTCGATCCCCAGTACGGGGTGTGCAGGAAGCAGCCGATCGATGATTCTCCTTCATCATTGATGTTTCTCTCTCCCCCTCTCCCTTCCCATCTGAAATCAATAAAAAATATTAAATAAAGTTCAGATAATCTTCAGCCACTTGGAGTCAGATAGTCCTCGGCATGAAGAGGATTTTCGTGGGCATATATAAACCCTGTAGGAAGCTGATCATTTCAGAATCAACAGAGGCAGAGCTGGAAGAGAGACTTCAGATAAGATATGATCCAAATTTTTCCATTTCCAATGAGAAAACTAAAGATCAGAGAGAAATAAAGACTAAATAACAGCAAAGGTAGGTAGTAGCAGAAAAGAGACTAGTTATAAGAATAAAAGTCTCTCAATGACTCTTGAGTACTAGGATTCACCACAATTGAATCAAATACAGCCAAGTTGAAAATTTCAAAATAACTTGTTCATGTGAGTCTGCCTAATACATTATTCATTTTTTAGAAGTTTAAATTTAGAAATGAACAAGAACAACAGAAAAGATAAAATATATAAGAATAAATCTAAGACTATTTAAGAATAAAAATACCTAAGACTATCTAAAAATAAAACATGCAAGATCTCTATCAAGAAAGAGCCGAACCGGTTTGGTTCAGTGGCTAGAGCGTCGGCCTGCGGACTCAAGGGTCCCAGGTTTGATTCCGGTCAAGGGCATGTACCTTGGTTGCGGGCACATCCTCACTGGGGGGCGTGCAGGAGGCAGCTGATCGATGTTTCTCTCTCATCAATGTTTCTAACTCTCTATCCCTCTCCCTTCTTCTCTGTAAAAAATCAATAAAATATATATATTAAAAAAAAAAAAAAGAAAGATTTTTTTAAAATATACTTTTATTGATTTCAGAGAAGAAGGGAGAGGGGAGAGAGAGATAGAAACATCAATGATGAGAGAGAATCACTGATCAGCTGCCGCCTGCACGCCCCGTACTGGAGATTGAGCCCGCAACCCAGGCATGTGCCCTTGACGGGAATCGAACCTGGGACCCTTCAGTCCCCAGGCCAATGCTATATCCACTGAGCAAAACCAGCCAGGGCTGAAGAAAGATTTTTAAATACTACTTGAGGGACACAGAAACTAAGTCAAGGGTAAGGTGCACCTTATTCCTGGATAGCAAGAGTGGGGTATAGTGTTGGGACAAACTTACACCAGGATAAATTCCAGGCAGATCAAATATTTAAATGGTTTTTAAAAAATAAATGAAACCTCAAAAATACCAGAAGAAACCATGAGAATTCTTTTATTAACATTTCTATAAGTTTTTATGAACTTCCAATGAGAAAGCAACTGTTATTCAAATCCCAGAAATTATTAAAGGAAAGTTTAATATACCTGACCGCATAAAAACATAAAATCTGTAAGATAAGTCAAAAAACAGATGACAAACATTTGTAACTGTTTTTTTGTAACAGCCAATACAAAAATACATCTACAAAAAGCCTATACAAATGAGTAGTAAAATGATCCACTATTCAACAGAAAAATTGATAAATAACATGAACAGTCAAAGAGAAAAAACCGATTCTTAAAAAAAAGATGTTCAAATAAACCATTAAAAGAATAAATTAATGTAAAGTAACTTGAATTAAGATAAATTAATGTGAAATAAAACTAGATTAATAATACGCATACATAGTATTTCTAAGTATGGGGATTACATGTAAATATCAATCAATCTATAATAATAGAGGGAAAACAAAGATGGCAGCATAGGTAAATTGCTGCCTTGCACAACCACTTCAAAAATACAACTAAAAGACAAAACAGACATCATCCAGAACCACAGGACGGCTGGCTGAATGGAAATTCTACAACTAGAAGCAAAGAGAAAAGCACACTGAGACTCAGAGGAGGTGCAGAAGTAAAGTGAAGAGGTATGGAGGCGCACGTGGAAAGGGCTGGCAACTGAGGAAGCAGCTGTCTTTTTCAGTCGGGAGGGAGTCTCAAGCTCCCAGCTGCTCTGAACTCCAATTCTGGGCAAGTCTCTGGGGACCCAGACTCATATGGGGAGAAACTGGACTGTCTGGCATCGGTCGGAACTCGAGGGTGGCTTTCTCTCAGAGGTGCTTGCAGCGATTACTGTGGGACACTGAGATGCCGGGGCTTCTTAGGGCAGGACTGAGGATCTGCCATAGCTGTTTGCTCCGCCCTGTTGATCCCGAGACCCCGCCCCACGCAAGGTGTGCGCAGAGGCTTTTGCATAGGAAAGGCCTGGCCCTTTGCAATCTGAAAATTACCTAACAAACTGCAGCTGAGTCAGAGAGACCCAGAACATCCAAAAGAAGGCCCAAGGCCCCACAGCAGCTTGCACTGCTTCACAGCTGGGCCTCATCTGGGCACCTCCAAACCCCAAACAAAGAAGAGGAATCTGCAGATCTCTCCATAGCTCCTGCTGGATAGCCTCAGGCAGAGGCTAAATTAGCACCTCCTTAGAGATCCAAGAGCCAGTGTACCCAGTGGTCAGAGTGGGACCACCCAGATTACAACTCCTCAGATCCATAAGGGACACACTCAAGGGGCAGACTCAGTGAGCACCAAAGCCCCCCTGAAGCAAGTCTTGCCCCAGAAGGGTGTCTCCAGCACAGAAGTTCTCCCACTGATTCTCACAGCTGATTCTCACAGCCAATTGGCCTGAAGGTCAATTCCTCCCAGTGATACCCACAACAATCAAGGCTTAACTACAACAAGGCTGTGCACAAAGTCCACAAAGGAGTGCACCAAGAGTGTCCACCTCAGGTAATTGGGGAGGCTGAGCCACTGGGCCCTATAGGACACCTAGCACACAAAGCCACTCTACCAACACAGGGAAGCATAAAAAATGCAGAGACAAAGAAACAGGTCACAAATGACAGAAATGGAGGAAAGCAAAACTACTGGATATAGAGTTCAAAACCACACTTATAAGGTTTTTCAAGAATTTTCTAGAAACCGCCGATAAATGTACTGAGACCCTCAAGAAATCTAGTGAGACCCTCGAGGTTATGAAAAAGGACGAACTAGAAATTAAGCATACACTGACTGAAATAAAGAATATTATACAGAGATCCAACAGCAGACTAGAGGATCACAAGAATCAAGTCAAAGACTTGAAATACAAAGAAGCAAAAACACCCAACCGGAAAAACAAAAAGAAAAAAGAATCCAAAAATATGAAGATAGTGTAAGGAGCCTCTGGGACAACTTCAAGCGTAACAACATCTGAATTATGGAGGTGCCAGAAGAAGAGAGAGAGCAAGATATTGAAAACCTATTTGAAGAAATAATGACAG